GCTAAATCTGCTAGTTGAGTAAACGAAACGGAGCGCAAGACAGCAAAAATCGATTGCGTGTTTTCCGGTGGCCGCTGTAGCCATAATTCGCGAAGTAAAGTCTCGTCCATGGTTGAGGAACCAAAGCGTTGATGCATCTATCATAGCAGGGTTGAGGGCAGTTTGTCGCCCAGCTGCAGATCCCTGAAAAGCTGCTGCAGGTGAAGTTTTTCAGAGGGCATAACACGTGACCTTCTTGAGAGCCTCATAGCTGTTTTTGGTCTGAGAATTGATAAGGCCTCTAACATGCATTGATATCTTCTTGGGGAGAGAGGGCATGAGCTTGCTACACTTCGAGTAGTCGGAAGTGATTCTGTGGTTATAATACAGCCCAAAGATGAGCGAACCACAAAAGAGGATCCTTGTCACAAAAAGATGGCACAGAGAGGGATAAAAGGCTAAGGAGAGACTCTACCTTAGGGTCTACAGATTCAGTGATTTAAAAATGATGCAAAAATAGGCTACCGTATGGAAATATAAACCGGGAACTTGAAAAATAAATGGAACAAGCTCACCTGAGAAAAGTTCCTAATATCCAGCGCTGAGATTCTTCCGGAGTTGGAGTCACCAATTTAGCGTGTAGCCTGTAGCGGGAGCCCGGTGAGCGATTCGAAAAGGCAGATCGGGTTGCAGGGAAGGTTTGATTGGTACAGTAAAAGATGCTCTGCTACTAGTTAGAAAAAAATACCGCTAACACTCTAGCTAGAGGAAATGAGGATGTAAAGCATAATGGGCAGTCGCGCGTTGCAACCGAAACGAGTGCCAAGCAAGAATGGCGATGAGCAAGTCAAGCATTCGATCTCAGAAATTATTTCACCAAACCACACCGGTCGCCTAGGTGTACAATGAAATAATTGTAGTTAAAATTTTACACAGGTAGACTGTGGAAGTCCAGACTGCTACATAGTCATACTCCAGAATGGACTGCGACCAGTTAACGAACTACATCAAGTTCCGTTTTGATAACTGTCGTCCACTGGAAACCATTTAAATCCGTGCAGATCGGTTTTCAACCCTGAAACGCTTGCGTGGACTCAATGAGAAAGCGTTCAAAACGAAAGTTCACGCTGCGGTGAAATATTTTTCGACTGCCATCAAAACTGGTTTGCGCCGTCTAAACCACCTATATGCCCAGACCATATTTGGAAATAGTAGCTTCAGTGATGTCTGACGTATGCATGAGGTATGCTCTTTTGGACTATTTACTTAGGTTGTCAACGAATCTATGGGAGCAAGAGACTCCGACAGACTGGAGCAACTACGAAATAACTCAAATTTTAAGGGGAGACACCGGTTCAGAATAGGGCGATCATAAGTGCATGAGTTTGATTTCTATTGCCTCTAAGTTACTTGCGTCTGTCGTCCTCCACAGACTGACGAGCACTCGTGAAAGCCAGATACGCGAGGAAGAAGCCGGTTTTTCGAAATTGAGCAAGCATTCGCTATATATTCACGATACAACAATTGTTGGAGTACCTCCAAGTTTATTGGCAGCCCAAGTAGTCGTGTTCCTAAACATCAAAGGTGCATGCGATTCAAGCGATCCATATGCTCTTGGAAAGGTGTCCCTGAGAAGTTTGTAAGTAGTACCCGAGTGCGATACACGCGTAGCTCGAGCAGAGTGAGGGTTTACGGCAAAATTTCGCCGTCCTTCGTTATCCCCACCGGTGTGAGAAGGTGGCCGGCTATCGGTTTCCTTTTTAACTTCGCCATTGACGAAGTCATGGAAACGGCGTTCGCCGCCCACGACTTAGGTATTGTGCTGATACCTAGTGATCGACTTCTCGACTTGGAGTATGCTGACGACATTGGACTCAGCTGTGTCAGGATGCACTAGTTAAAATAGCTGCAGATGTCAGTCCTTTCGGGCTATGCTTTGTGCCGTCGAAATGCAAAGTTCTTCAGCAAGACTGGCAGGAACCAAGTCATGCACTGACTCTTGGAGGTGGTCAACTTGAAGTCGTCGATAAATTCAAGTACCTGGGTATCTATATCAGCGCCAGTGGAACGGAAGATGAGATCAAGAACCGTATGGCAAATGTTTGATGCGCTTTTGCTTATCCTGCCATCTGTGGCGCCTGGGTAACACTACTCTCGCTCTGAAAGGCAGAGTCTACAGTGCAGCCGCTCCTACAACGCTCATGTATGATTGGAAAGTTGGCCCCTGAAGTCGACAGACATAAAGAGGATACTTACTTTCCATAAACGCTGCCTTCGCAGATTAGCTCATGTCTGGTGAGAGCACCGCGTGAGCAATGAGCGTGTTCGGCGCAGCTTATTTGGTGCAGGAAGAGCGAGTGAACCGCTCGGCACCATTAGGTCACGCAACAGGCTCCGATGCCTTGACCACCTATTGAGCATGACAGTCTACCGACTACTGCGACGTGCGTTGTTTGCACGCCGGGGATGTGGATGAAAAAAGTGGGGAGGACAAGCGATGACCTGGTCACAAGAAATGTAATCCGTCACTGCGAAGTTAGCACCGGTTTGTTTCCGGACTGCCTGGCTAAGAACTGGTAGGACAAACTAGATGACATGGCGAAGAGTCGATTTCATTGGCAGTTGTGGTGTCAGTCTTTTTGTCTCTCCCATTCGCTTTAGCTTCCTCAAAAAATGACGACAAATGTGATATTAGCATTATGTTACTTTTTTATAGCTTTTAAGTCAACACGGTTTAATGTCTTACCATTTTTTGATTGCGACACATCAGCTGAGGTGTGTTTCTCGTCCTCGGTTAACGTGCATTGATGATGATGACTACGTTTGTGCACGAAGGAAGTCCAGGTTATGCTCGACTGCACATTCTATCGACAGATGGTGTAGACATGGGCAGTCCACTTGGGCCTGCGTTGGCTGATTTCTTCATGGGCCATCTGGAAGCATGAAGCGGCATCCTCACATGCAAAAGATGCATTCATATAATCGATCCGTAGGTGACACATTCGTCGCTGCACACACCGCCGAGCAAGCAGAATGCTTACTTTGTGCTCCAAATGAGTGCCACCTTGCGATCGAATTCAGAGCTGAAAACGACTCTTCTAGTGCCTTCCACTTTTTGGATGTTAACCTAGAAAGAAACCCGAATGGCACACACATTCGATCTGTGTGCCGTTAACCTAGATGGAGAGGAGAGTACCTTAACTGTCCTGTGTGTTATAAACGAGCTTTAGCTCGTAACACTTTTGAGACAGCTCGCAAGATCTGCTCTGAGATGATCGAATGTGAGCTGCAACGCGTCTCCTTAACATCGCGTGTAAACGTATATCCGGATAGCACGACACGCAAACGCGAAAGGAAAAATCAGGGACGAACTGGTGACCGACATAGCTAGAAGTGCTCATAACGCTAGTATTCAAAGGTGACCAAAGAAGACAGGAGATTCCGGTATCATCTCTGTCATTCCATAAAAAGGTGTTATTACGATGCAGAGCTTGTGGTTTGGCACCAAGTTAGAAAGTTGCTGTATAAATCCAACCTGAACAAATATGACTCTCAGGTTACCGCCTCATGCATTTACCTGTTTCATTGTACTTGTGGTAGCGAATACGTCAGCCGATCTGAGAGCAAACAGTCCGCAAGGATTTTACAGCATATTCCGCGAAATAGTCGAGAATGGTCCGAAGCAACACGCCAGTTCAATCGCCCGACACATACTTGACTATTCCATGTGTGAAAACCCATGTGAATCATTTAGGATGCTCAATTGCTAGAGCCTTCTTCAGTTCGCTGAGGCACCGGCAATTAGGTGGCTGAAAACCATTTGGTGTAAACAGACCGAGTTCGTCGCCAGTATCGCCTTGCCTTGATGGCCAAACTCATCTAAGCGGAATGCCGGCCAGCATCAGATGAAGTTTGACCGTTCTCGATTATCCAATGACGTTACACCTTGAATGCCTCTGTACGCAACCTAGGTATTGTATATAAACGGCTGATGGCACTGCGCGAAATAGCTGAATTCACATTATACTGTTTAAATATTGTTCTTCCTTGCCATTTTGAAATTTGTGAAGAGGAAGTCTTGTATGACCCACCGAGATTTGTTGGTTGCCATGTGGAGCTCGTAAAGAACAGAGGCAATCGATCCGCATCCTAGCAAATACAACTCACCTCATCAATTATCCCACATCCAAGAGCGGCTGCGGTATCAAATAGCTCAATCATCTTAAGGCCTGGAAATCGGCGAATCAACTGATGTGTTGAATGGGTAGGGTGTCATGTTCGTTCTGTTGAGATCCTCACCTATCGTTCCAAATCAATGACCAAATGCTATATTATTTCGTCTGCTGTCAAAAAGGAAGTAAGCATAGCAAACTGAGAACAGCATCGAGAACACTCCCATGACTGGTGCCGGTGTCGTGTGACAGACCTTTTGCTCGACAAAATCATAGCAATCCGATTAAGAGATGCTATAATCTGGATTCATTCAATACGCGCCAGCGTACTACGATGTTGAGCTTGGAAGCCCAGCTGGTCGCGCGTGAGAAATGGAATCAGAATTGAAAAACGAAAAAATAAGTGTATCTATTTTGAAGTGGAGAAGAATTTGGCTACGTGAAAATGCCGGGATTTGAAACATTCAATTAGCTGAGCGCCCCTCAACCGACGAGCTCACGACCCAGTAACGCACTAAGGATGTCACCTCGATGGGAGATGTAATGTTTGCAATCCAATTGCAAAGCTCGCAGTGAGCATCTGAACACCGGAACTGACCGCAGTGCAACTGCGATAAAGTAATGGAGCTGAGCGACCTAGAAATCAACGATGAGGAGATCGAAAGCTAGCCGACATCACCGAGGCATCATACTAGGCGGTGAAGAAAAATCCATAGAAGCATAGTATACCTGGCGAAATTTCACCGAGTGGTTAAATGCTGCTAAGGAGTTGGTTACTTCCGCCAGGAGGATAACAGAAGGCGTATGAACGTGGTCAAAATAAGATTGGAAATGTATGTACATAGTGTGCTAAACAGTCGTAAGATTGGACGTCGTTTGGTCTAATGTCGAATCTGTGACATCTCCAAAAGCCCAATGAAGCAAATGTGACACAACGAGAACATTGATACTGTTTCCCAGAAGTCGCAGGCGTTGCTTCTCGGTAACTTCGTCCGGAAAACCTATGGAAGAGTAACAAGTGAGAAGGATAGCTTCATTCCATGGGGTTGCCTGACAAAAAGTGCGCGCGTAAAATGAGTCCCCTGGGCATAAAATATTAGAAAATGTACAGTTGATATATTTGCTATAAATAAAAAGTTGATTGTTTATTCTCGATAGCGCAAGGCATGCCTGTACAGGTAGAAAGAAAACAATTTGGTTATGGGGAAAACATAATTTGCTCAACGAACATGTTTGCAGATAAAGTAAAATTCATCAAGTGCTCCATCAAATCAAATGATGGGTAATCAACATAAAACGAATCCATTAATTCCCACTAGGATGACAGAAAAATACTTGGAGAAGAATATATCGCATTTAGCAGCAAGCTGCGGATATTCAACAGATAGGACTCCAACACAATTGGATAGCAGGTATAAAAGAAACAAATGAGTGTCAATCTAGGTCAGATAAACATTAAATTAAACAAATACGGTGCAGGTACTCCAGCTCGCATCGCCTTACCAGTAAAAGTCAACAACGGTGAAGAAACAAACGAAATGACCGTCAGGAGGTACAAAAAAGATGTCACGGCCACCGAGGAACAAGCTTGAGTACATGGCAATGGCGATGCACGTGTTAGATGCAGGACATGAAATCAGCTTGGATAATGTCGAAATCATTAGGAAGGGGTCGCGATCCATAATCAAAAAGTTGGCTGCTGAGGCTTCGGAAATTGCCAAAGCCAACAACTGTAAACAGAATGGATGGGGTGAAGTTGTCCAATGTGTGGCGGGCTGTTTTAAGCCGGCCAGTCTGAGCAGCGTCGGCGGACGGATCTGGGGCAGACCGCGAACATAGAACCACGCGCTGTCAGGGATTTATGTGTAATGACATCGTACGAAGAACTACCTGGGATCTTACCATCCCTAAAGTGTCACTTGAGTTGACCAGTAATGTGATTACTGTTCTACTTACAATTTGATCGTCACAATAATCGCCCCCCTTTGCCATAAATGCCACACCAATCATCCGCTGAATCACTTGGCGTGACGAAGTTTTTGTGTCGCAATCTAGATCGGTTCCAAGCATATTTCAATGTGTCGAGATCATACTATCCTCAAGTGCGTCAAGTCGAAAAATTCTCACAACAACCGAGTAGCTCATTCGAAGAGAACTATCTAAGAGGATAAAATTGAGCCCTTCAGTTGGTGTCACAATTCTTTTTGCCACAACACAGGTGGAGGACCGGGGTTCGATTCCCCGTCGAGGCACATTATTGTGTATGAATTTTAATCGTGACTGCTACTTTCTCTTAACTTTACACTACTCACAAACATCCACAATTAATCTACCATCACCCTTTGGACATCTGAAGGACAGATACTTCGGTCCATTGGGAAGTGACGGGTGAGTGAGCCAATCTGCAACACCAGGACAGATACTGTGAGCTCATTTGGCAACACGTCGCGCACCAAGCAGAAGTCATGTATTAAAATTGCGCACCTAATCGTCAGCTCAGTGGTAGAGCAGCGGACCGGAAATTCGTTGGACCGGGGTTCGATTCCCCGTCGAGGCACATTATTGTGTGTGAGTTTTAATCGTGACTTCTACTTTCTCTTAACTTTACACTACTCACAAACATCCACAGGTAGAGTACTTATGGATTACACACAACTACGAGGTATCAACAAGTGCACGCCATCCAGACTTGACACTTCTGGTAAAAACATGATTTCACTGCACTTGAGAATTCACAACGAAAAGCGAAAAAATGTAAGGGATCATTCCACCTCTCTTTTCAGTGAACAATATCGTCTGCGAGGTGATCCCACATTGATTTATCAGACACAGAAGAATCCTAACTGTCTATGTCGAACCTTATTGAAACTCAGCCACTAGTTGAAGTTGGGCACACAGTACAGCCGGATAGAATGCCGCCGGAACTATTTCTCCATTCGTGTATCCCAGCCGTGCAACATATTTCCGTGTTATGTCAACACTGCTCCTACGTTAGCTGAATTCAAAATTCGGCTTGATGACACATTACATCACCTGCGTTAAGTGATTTAACTCAAGTTATTGAGACACGAGACAACGTAACCAAGCTAAGTGTGCAGGTGAAATTTGCGCAAGTAAAATGCAGCGCGTTATTTTTCTTCCTGATTCACTCATTTTCGGCCTCAATCTTTACGTACGGAAATTGCTAATCATTTGCTTCTACATCCATTGTCACACTGCATATAAACGACTCACTACGGTGATTTCGTTTTACCGAGAATTCACCTAAAAGTCTGTTGGCAAATCATGTTGTCGTACTGCCTTCCGTGAAAGGTGTACTAAGGACACCTGTATCTATCCTAAAGTCCCTCTACCATGACTCTCGAGACCGGGTAAAGGTTTACGGGAAGCTGTCTCCTGAGTTCACCCATGGCTGTAATATATTTCTTATCCTCATAGAATTTGTGGTTGAAATGAACATAAATGACTTAGTCCTCTCAGTTTAAACCAGTAGAAGTCCTAACAAAAGACCAATCGAGTGTTGGAGTCTGCACCGACTGCGCAAGCGATATTGAACAGAATGATGCGTAGAACTGCCCGCTTCGGTATGCGTTTTGCACCCTCAAAGTATAAAGTATAGATTCGACACGCCACTGGTAGATCGATTCATATACAGTGATAGATGCGTCACAAATCAGCACAGGAAAAAGTCGCAATTAATCATGAAGACAGCAGCCAATAAATCAAAGATACACAATGCTGCGATAACATAGGTGTTATTGTATAGATAGTAAACATGGACACTGCGTTACAACGGCGTTAGGAGATCAATGAAAAGATTCCCATATCTGGTGGTCAGAACTACTGAAGTTCAGCAGTGGGTAATTGAAAGATGCACCATAATACCAAATAAAAACCGCTTAAGCTGTGCCCACCGAATTGGGCGAGGCCACGAGGTGGCCAGTTCATGATGGGGCATTAAGGGATACAGAAATAAGCCAATAAACTTAGCCAGTCTGGAACGCTGTCTCTGTGTAGGTTGCCCAGAATAGCACGCATCAGTGATTGGGAACGTCGTCAGACATGCGGAGAGCATGCTGTAAGGCGCTCACGCATTCGGTTCATGGTATACATCATGAATACCTTACCCCAGCTCCTTTTCCATACTCTACTTAAATATCACCTCATTTTCCTCGCAAGCACTGAGTATTGCAACCGTGGTGATACAAGTATTGATAACTGAATGTACCGCACATCAGTAACTGGATTATTGCTAGTCAAATGGACCGAGGGATTATGCGTGGAAGGAGTCGATCGGCACGATTTGGCGATTGCAAACATCGTACTTTCAGCAAATGATGCAATACAAAGCCAAAATCGTCACGGAACAGCTAATGTAACACATCAGAATTACCCGAGTAATGACCAGTAGCAGTGCGGACTCTAGCAAAAGATCAATAAGTGAAAAGTAAGCGCTCCCTAAGGTAGGAAGACAGCCACCCGAAAAATAATACTAAAACAGGTATGCGTAGATGACGTTCACACAAGTCACCAAGAACAAGTAATTCACTGACCAACGGCGATTACGGAGTAAGGCTGGTGTCGGATCTCACCGGAATGGTCAAATGACGGCGAGTGCAGGCAAGTTCTAGACAGAGATGACCAGGCCAGTTCGTTCTATAGACAAGCTAGGCAGAATAAGTTGTCTTGTCTGTGCAACGAAGCATGACTTCCAATGGTTTATTGTCAGATGTTTTTCGACATCAAGTTAGGAGCTAGGAGATTAAAGGAGTTAGCAAGAGACGAAGTCGACTGGTAAGTACCTATCTCCTGATTGAGGATCACGCAAACTGCTGTACACTTGGCCCGAGAAATTACAGGACACGACGGGTGACTGGCCTCAGTAGAATGTTTGCTGTTTTGATCAGAGCACATAGTTGGACTGTGCCTCGCACCGCTAAGGAAGTTACCATTTATTTACTTATGTTCTCTTTATCGGACGGTCAGAGTAAAGTGTGCATGAGGATGAGTCATTTGTGGAAATGGGATGACAAGTATGCAGGATGGTGAGAATCATAAGGAAGTGGTTGTCTCTCCGATTCCGATTGTTCTTTACACGATAATCATCTGTTTGTGATTCTGTGTTGTAGCCGCCTCCTTCCCAAGTCTTCTTAGGCTAAGTAGGTTTTATAGTGCGCACATCCGCGTCAGTCTGATGATCTCACTGCTTCAGATTAGCGCGTATAGAACAATCAAAAGGAGTGCAAACGAAACGACGGCTCGTAGCCGGTGTAGTGTAGACGCGAGAAGTCAGTCAAATGGAAACAAAGCCGATATTCCAACAGACACTTGTACAAAGCATCGATCATGTGTTCTAATGTGGACAGCCAATAAGAAGTGTGTAGCAATCGACCAGGCAGTTACCACGAGGATTACGCACTCGTAGGTTACGGGCGTTTGGCAAAAAGAGCCAGCTAGTTGCAGTCAATTGAGGTAGCAATGAAGACGACGACGACAGTTATGATGCGATAGTCAGAAATGCAGATAATCCTGTCCAAACAGAGTAAGCGATGCAGCATTATAATGCAGTGGAAAACCTAGGGGCACCTTCAGAAAATTCAGCTGAAAGAGTTCAGATATTTAGTATATTATGGTCAAGCATCTTGTGGTAAGGTTGGTTGACGAATTCAACGACCCATGAACAGCCCCAAAGTGACTTTCTCTGGGTAAAAACAAAACACCAAAAAGGTGGCTTACCAAAAGAAGGAGGAAAGCAGAGAAAGTTAGCCACTTCCCTGGAGAGAAAAAAACGCAGACGCAACTTGTGAGCTAGAGTCAACAAAGACTTCTGGTCTCCATTTGCAGCGGTCCAACTGGCGCTGACGTCATCACCAGACTGAAAACAAACAAGAGGTTGAAACAAGTAAAAAAGTGTCCCCATGAAGAAACGTGTTAAAATCTTGGCTCACTCACCATATCCAGCGAAGCGGTCTGCAACACTGACCCGGTGCCTTCAATTCTTTTCGCATAGCCCTTGGTGAAGCAACGCGTTTTGTGATCACTCGGTCTGACAATGTCCAATATTCCAAAGTAACGAGATAATTGGCTATCATTCAGGTACTGAACCCTCTGAAGGCGTAAAAATGTATGAGTGGAAAGAACTGACATAAACATACTTTTGAATGCTCCTCGGACGTCTCATCCACGAGAAAATTCGAAATAGGTGGACAGTAAGGCAAGTAGTCAACATTATTATCGCCTGAGTGATAGATATGCCTAAAATGGAAGCGGAAAGCGCTTATGAAGAACATAATTCTGTGAAAATTGATGTATCCGACACTTTAATAGAAAAGTGCATAACCGCAATCTAACAAGACTTTACGATGTCGGGATAACACATCAGCGGGTGCATCGTTCCTGAATGATAAATGCATGAAAAATTCTTTCTTCGGAGCAATGCTCTTAGGTGACTTACACTTACGTACGCTCAGATTTGTCCGGGTATCCATTTTTCTAAGGGCATCGCTGATTTTAGGCTGTTCCTCATTGACGGTGTCTGGTGTGCAGATGCTATGCACCCTAAAGGCAAGTGATTGTACCAAGCTCCGTTTATACTGCAAAGGTATCGCGCTGTGAAAGTTGGTATGCTGTCCAGTCCATGTGCACTACCTGTGTATTCTTCTGACACAAGATCCATCGGTGTTTCGGATAATGTTTATATCCAGCAAAGGAAGCTGACCTCTGGACTCTGGTTCGCCGGAGAAGCAAAGATTCGCATGTGCGTCGTTAAACACTTCCAGCAACTGCGTGGCTTGCTTTTCGGATTTGCAAAGTACGAACCTATAATCGACATATCGCACACAGATTTCAACTCCGTTGATATATGTTCTTAGTGGGCCATGGTTCGGCTTTGCCATAAAGAGAGCAACCAAAAGGGGCCCTAATGGGATCCCATGGTCACTCCATCGGTCTGGGGATATATTTCGCCATTGAATGTGGACTGAAGGTTTAAGGAACAACGCAGTAACACCTTTGAATAAAGTTTCTGGAAAAACGGCTGATGTTTACAGTCGCTGAACCAATTCGTACATATATTCCAATGTTTCGAGTAATGGAACGTTGGTAAAACAGCGACTGGAGACCTAACGATAACATCTTAATCGATGAGGTTGAGATTAATTATCTTCTCAAAGAATTCGAAGGAATCTCTCACACACTAAGCGTAAAACATTTACCGCAACGGCTGCAATTTTTTCACCATCTACTGGGACAGCAGATGTTGCGGAGAACCGATCGTGTCCAAGGTTGGACGCATTAGGGAGCCTTCCTTATGAACTTTAACTTCAACTTTTCGAATCCATTCATTGTGATGAGATCTGTCTGCATCATTCGCCGGAGGCATCCAATTATCCGTTTTTCTACTTCTCCTGTGCTATCTCTTCTCGATGTTAGCTTTTCAAACATGGTTGGCGGCATCCGGTTTCAAATTTGCCTGTCACTGAGGCCAGTCACAGGAAGCCTGCGCCTACAGAGGAACCATGCGTGGCTTGCGCTGCACAACCCACAGCTCCAACCACACACCCCATATCCAGTGTAAACCCGAAGGAAGAAGACAGGGATGGGAGCCACGTTTCATCAACGGAGTCGGCCCACACTCCTTCACAGGCAAACACAAACACGCTGTATTTGGGGAATCAAGCGCACACAAGGCGGTGGCTGGACCGTAGTCCGCTCCACACTGAGTGCATGGAACCACTTTTTGATCCTAACACGGCCACAAGGACCGTGCACCCCGTCACCTCCAGCAACCACCAACTGTCTCCTAGAACCGGTATGGACGAGGTAGTGGGTAATGGACAGGTAGGCACCTTGACAACATGCACATCAATCACAGCCAAATAGCGAATGTCAAGCAACAGCCAATCACCTGAAATGATATAAGTAAATACAAAACATCTGTCAAAGAATACAGCTATGCAGATATAACTCTTCGATAAATTAGCATATGAAGCAAGCTGGTTAGAGACGAATACGCGATGAGTACAAAATGTCCAGAAGTTACTCAAAAAATGCTACAAACGCAAGAAAGTTAACGAATATAACCACAATTAGCGTAAGCAACGTGGCCAGTTAATAGAAGGTTGCTCAGATAGGCAGAACAAACCAAATAAAGTGGAATGATATTTATGCAACTTAGAAGGACCTAGTTTAAGTGTAAGTTGGTTTAGTCCAACTGCGGTGAAGAAGCATCAAGAATGCAACATCAGCTTCAGCATGGGGCACAGCTTTTGAAACATACGTTCATCACTAAGTACATGGTGCATCTTACGGATGTAACCAGACCTATCCATTAGAACTACACCGGAACTTTTGTCTGGCTTAGAGATGATTAACACTTTGTATAACCACAACTTTCCAAGTGATCGCCTCTGTTCTCACTGGTTGTATTCCTCCTCATTCAATTCCATTACACATAGTAGAACTCCCTAATAAAGCGTTCTTAGACTAATAGCTAAAAGTGTCGCCTAAAGCTGTGTACAGGCAATGGTAATCCGCTGCTCTGTGCAAACTATCACGCAGTGGGAGGAGGGTGGTTCCGGATCAACTAACAAATGACGCAATACAATACATCCGGTGCGAAATCATGAATAGAAAAGTGATAGAAAGCGCAATGCGAAAAAGACGGATACAAGGTGACTGGCATTTGTCCGCTTACAAAGTGGTAGACGTGACGGTCCATGATGTGAGCTAAGTGCAGCAGAAGTCACCATAGTTATACTGTTATAAAACAGTAGAGCTCATGATTGGGTCAGCACGAGAATTACGGGATACAATAAAAGGGATTTAGATTCAACAACCAAGACAAAATTAAAAGTAACGAAAACAGAAACAAGATTATCGGAGATGCAAAACGCGGTTCAACTGATATAATAAGGACGAGGAAAACATATCGCGACGAGAGTAGACCTTCACGTGGTGCGATGGTTTGTGTGCCTCAACGATCCACCGGACAATGCTGGGTGGTGCTTTTGCACCTTCAGAGCCACTCATAACAGATTATTCAATGATTAGAGGCTTGACAAACTTAGTCTTCTGGCCCTCCAGGTTGGGGGTTGCAGTGAGGGTGGCTCTTTAATCCATAAAACGTGTTCTTTGTAGTCCAGTGCCAATACCCCGCTGCCTTGTGATCAGGTTTGCGAATCAAAAGCTTTGGTTAAGAACCCTAATCATTCTCCTGTCTAGGTCTGGGCAACCTGATAGTATCCTGCCTACTTAATACAATATTATGACTTCTTCAAATAATTTTTTGATGCTCTGGCCGCCGCAGAGGATAACAAACGGCACCTTATCTGCTGCATTGAGCAGGGTGGATAGGGGTTTGGATGCTACTGCTCAAACCTTCCTATCTTCTTATCCTCCTCTTGTGCTTTTACATCCTCATCGTCCCACACCAGCCACACTTTTACCCCCCACCCACCAATTCTTGGCCCTCCCCCATCTCGCTTCAATGGTCGCTTGTCTTCTAGTTTCAACTCATACGCAATCGCAGAGCGTCGCTCCAGTCCAATTAACAAGTACATTTTCAACCAAGCGGACAATGTCAGTTCAACCGTTTCTCTTTGGAGTCCTCGCGTCTCGCTAAGACTGGCATGACTCAAGGTGCACACTTTGTTACAGATTGGAAAACAAGCAGCACTTGCCCGAACACTCGAGACCCTATCTGTTTCTTATCGGAAACCTGCCTGCAAGATGCGGGTTCTGTGATTACCTGCGATCCCCCAAAAGCCGCACTGGCGGCGCGTCCTTATTGCCTTTGTCTGTAAATTCAAATACTGGTCAAGCCGGTGTGGGAATTGTTCTGAGTTCCCGGACTGAAGCTGCCCTGGTTGACTGGATCCCCATCAATAGTCGGATGTGCGCTATTAGATTGGCTGGCTTGTTCAGAGCTTTGAAGTCGCGAGTAGACAAACGGTGCCTACGCGCCCACAAATTCTAGCGCTGATTCGGTGAAAGATGAATTCTATTACCAGCTGAACGAGCTCCTCCGCCACAGGAAAAGTACGGATACAGTGGTGCTGGCTGGAGATTTGAACGCCCAACTAGGAAAACTGTCCACCGATGACCATCATTTGGGTGGCCAAACACGGTGTAGGCTCACGAAATGATAACGGTGAGCGGTTGCTAAACCTGTGTGAAGATGCTCGTCTGTTTCTCGTGAGCGCTAACTTCCGACGCAGCAACCGCAGAAGGGTAACATGGCGCCCACCCGCTTCAAACTAGCCATGGACGCAAGTCGACCACATCGCGATAACTGATCGCCGGAGAGCCTGTGTCCAAAACAGTCGCTCAATTTGGATCACGAGCAAGGACTCTGACCACGTAGTCGTTTGTGCCGATCTTACCGTTCGCTCCGGTGGGCGCATGCGGCGTCGCTGTGAGCACATAGATACGTAACAGCTGGCTAAGCAAGATGTCCAAAATGCGCAGCAAAGTACGCTGACATCCAGGCTAAGTAAACGCTCTCTGAACACAGCAAAAAGCCTCTGGTCGCATATTCACATGCGTTAATAGCAGCAGGCATGTTTTCATGTGGTAAATCAAGTTGTCAAGCTGGACATTGGGTTTCTATGCAGTCTCTAAAACTTATGGATGCTCGCCGACACATTCGGGTTGGATGCGAACACGAGATTCGCAAAGAACTCAGGTCGAAATTGCGTGCTAGCCTGAAGAGAGACTGCGAAGAATGGTGGTCTAATCGTGCATCAGGAAATGGCCGCTGCCCTTGGTAAACATCAGAAGTTATTTCGCTTGATGCACGAAACGGGTAGGAGAGCTGGTGTTGTCGATACCATATGTGAGGAGAGTGGTGGCCGATCTACAGTTTGTCAAAACGCTTGGAGCGTTGGGCCGAACACTGAAAAGCAGCTTAATCATCCAGTTACCAGGTTCTCCTTCGGCCACCCATTGTCCATCTCCCTGGACCACCTCACGGACCCGCCATCACGCGCAGAAGTCGAAGGTGAAGTCAGACTGCTGAAAGGCCGCAGGAGCGGGGAGAATCCCTCCAGCTATTTTCAAATTCGGGGGACCTGTTCTTGCAGATGATCTGCACAACTTATGAAAGTGCGGGAGCATGAAACCATCCCAGCAGACTGTAGCCGCTCGATAATAGTCGCAATTTCAAGGGGGCTCATATTCTGAATGCGGTCCTCCTAGAGAGATCAGTTTGCGTCTAAGGTACTCGCCTCGGTCGCTCTTCATAGACGTGCTGGCAG